ACAAGCCTGGGGTTGGTGGAGGATGGAGTCCTTAAACCCCATCAACAACAACACTTTCGGTTTCTCATACGCAACAAAGTAAGTCATCAAGTTATAGCATTTATTACTATTCATCTCTTCCCAAAATATATGCTAAGAATAAAATGTTTTTCATTTCCTTTAGGTACTGCGTGAGGGGTATGGATTACGGCAAGAATCCAAGATTCAATGTCGCACTATACCGTAATCTGTTTGATCACTTAGGCTCGGATGACGTACGTCGTAGCTTTTAACTTTTCTTCATTTAAATTATTTATGCATTACTTTTGCGTTAACCTGATTTAAATTTCATTGCAGTTCGTCTGGAGACCATATTTGGGTTTGGGCCATGATCCAAACCCGGAGGCTGCAGCAACTTGGACCGCGAAGACTGCAATCATTCGGTTCAACATTGTGGAGATGCACCACAGCGACCGTGTGAAGATGCAGTTCGGAATGCATCAAGAGATACCAAGTGATCCAACTTGTTTATCCCCATGGCATCTTAAAAGGGTCGACGCCCAGTGGGGTCTTACCAACTGGAAAGACTTCGCTCAGGAATGGTGTAAGATGTGGCAGAGGCGTCACCGCTATGTCTTGCAATTCCCGGTTTTCCTTAATCAAGGTAATATGCAACACACGGATCAATGTTTGTCTTGGTACAGGTCGGTTAGTAACCCTGAAATGCACGTGTATCATCCAAGGTACTTGGTTGACCCACGCACACAATGGGCACAATCCTCGTTTCCCCAACAACAAACCCAAAACCCATCAACCTCCCACCAACCCCCAAGAAGAAACAGACCCACAAACACCCAACCACAGTCCCCACCACAACACAATTACACTCAAATGCCACACAACCAACCACAATCACCACCACACTACCAATACCCCGATATGCCTCACACCCAACCACAATATCAATCCCAATACCAGCACACCCGCATACCCCACACACAATTTCAGTCTTCCGTATATCCCAATATGGGCCCCTCAACATCCAGCCTTAGCCCTGATATGGGAATGTCGGAAGATTACGACAAACCGACTCAGCCTACCATCAACCACAATATCACCAAACCACCCAACATCCTCAATACCAAACACCCCAAGATCCATTTCCTTTCTACCCACCGTACTCAAACGAACAATGCTACAGACCCACTATGGAACCCCACCCACCGCCAACACGACCAAACTTTGAGGGTATGGGTAACCGACTGTACCAAAGCGGATCTTCTAGATATGGAGATCTGACTGGTTTTATGGATCCGGACCGCATTGACTTCGCTGGGCCATCGACCTTGCCGCAGCAGGAAACGCGACGACACCCAGCACGAGAAAGGCGAGGACGGGGATGCGGAACCGGGGGACATTACCGGGTTCCGGGGGATCACTGATTTATCTGTTTTTTTTCATGTATTTTTTTATCCGTTTTTTTTATCTGTTTTTTTTAATCTGTTATTTTAATGTAATACAGTTGGATGTAATTATTATTTTTTTAATAAAAAATCCATTTTGTTGATCTTGTATCCAACACGCAACGCACCGGACAAAAAAAATCACATTTTACCTTAAAATAACACTTAGGCGCCATCTCACTTGGCTTAGGGCATGCCCTAAGCACATAGGCGCCAAGTGAGATGGCGCCTCCCCTTAAAAAATTGGTGCATGCGCCAATTCAGATGACTCCTCCTTTGGGGAGTCATCTGAAACATGATTATTTGCGTAATTTTTTCCGAAACGCGGTTATTTACGATTTTTTTTAATACATGGTTATTAATAAAAAAAATTCATTTTTTGTTGAGTTTTCTTCATTACTTTTCAATTCATAATTAATTCTTTAATAACTTTGTAAGTTTTTGGTATTGGTCACAATTCTTTCTTTTTCATTCTCTTTATTGATATTCTAAATTATGTTGTAATCCACGTAGAGAAGATATAAAAGATTCCATTTATATAAAGTTTGCCTTTATAAAATATTCTACAACAATTAATGTTTAAAGATTGAAATTATATATGTTTACTAAAATAATACTGAATAATAGGATTTTAGGATTTTATTGATGTTAATAATTGTGATCACATAATAATAATGATGATAAAAGGGAATTATATAGTATCATTTATCCAAAATATTTATTTAGAAAGACAAGGGGGGAAGACATGTGCATAAGAAGATGAGACTGAGTCACGTGTTATTTTGATGCCTTTCCATTTAGTTTTTCTCGTTTTTTTCAATAATAATCTTAAATAAGAGTTTTATTTTCTCAAGTAATTAATAGTTGATTAATGCTTTGAATGAGTCATAAAGAGGTGGCTGCCACACTCCCCTAGACCATCATTTTCTCCTTTCAATTACAAGTTATAGCATTTATTGTTTTATTTTATTATCTTTTTATAACATTAATTCATCCACTTATCCATGAGGTCATGACTACTCTATCATATGTAGCACATTATTCTAAGATTTAAATAATTTCATTGACATTGGTTTAAATTTAAATTACACTCAAAATTAATAGACACTTTTATTTCATTTACACCTTTTAATTATTGTAATTTAAATCAATTTATTATCTTATTTAGATGTTTTAAAATTAATTCATTAATTCACTTATGATTATTATAATATTTTATTTTAATGAAAAATAAATTTTTGTTTGTATCTTTATAATATAATAAAAAATAAAATTTTATTTCTATCCATAAAATTTTATAATATAATAAAAAAGATATTAATGTAAACTTTTGGTATTCAATTAAAAATTAAATGTATATATTACAAATTTTAAATACAATAGTAAAACTGAAGATATTTTTAAATTGTTAATTAGAGTCACGGCTTAATTTTATAAAAAATTAATAAATATGTATTGAGTTGTATATAAAAAATAAATATTAAATTATTATTTAATATTGTAATTAATTTTTCAATATTTTTAGATCTATTTTTTGATTTACCTACTGATATTTATCCCAATAAATATTAAATTATTATTTAATATTGTAATTGATGGTGGAAATAATTATTTTTAATAATATAGTAGTTTACAATTAATTTAAATGAAGAATAAAAATATCTTAGCATAATTTTATTCTCCAAGTATATTTAATTTCTTATAATGTTTTTAACTATTGATACAATTATTTTTATAGATAGAAAATTTAATTATTGATATAATTATTTTATAAATAAAAATAAGTTATAATTATTTTTATAAATGGGAAGAAGTTACAAATAATTTTATAAATGGGAAAATTCAACTATTAATACAATTATTTTTATAAACGGAAATAAGTTATAAATATTTTTATAAACGAAAATATATTACAAATATTTTTATAAACCGAGAAAAATTTAATTATTGATACAATTATTTTTATAAATGAGAATATGTTTCAAATATTTTATATTAGTTTATGTTTCTGATAGGTCTAACTATTAACAATCCAAAAAAATAAATTTAAAGTTGACAAATGATTATAAATCTATAATTATGTAAATATTAATCAATTAAATAAATAAATTCAAATTTATATATGAGAATAAGAGACGTGTAATATAAATATAGACGAGATCGATGCAATAATACATATTTCTTAATAATAATAACAATAAAAACTATGCACATTTTTAAATTATTTATTAGTTTCATTTATTTAAAAATATTATTCGTTCTCACCAAAAGTCTTAAAAGTAAAATAATTAAAATAGTTTTACCTACATTTTGTCCATGCATGAAGTATGATTTGAATTGGTTAAACCGCAATAAAAATGTGGGGAATTTTTTCGTTTTAGTCATCTCACTAATGATATAAAGATACTAACTAAATAAGTATTTGGGTTTTAATGAAAAAAAAAGTTTCACTAAGAATGAATAGTTTGAGTACTATTGAGTTTTATTCTTGATGGAAATAAAATTGAGCAATGAATCATTTCTCTAAATTATGAAATCAAACTAGTTGATTTATTATATAAATCGAAACTGATTGATTAAACTAAAAAAACAAAAATACTCTTCAACAATAGTTTAATTATTAATGATTGGTTATCCATTCATATTTTATTTTTGAATCTAATTACTATCTAAATATTTTAAAATTCAATTAAAATTTTATAATTCTAAAAAAAAAAAATTGTTGGATTTTTTTTCTAGAACAAAAGTATTTTTTGAATTTTTGGAAAAAAAATTGTTCAATTTATTTCAAAAAAAAATAAATTCCAGAAAAATGATTATTTTTTCCAAGTTGATTTTTTAAATTTTTGAAAAAATGTTTTTTTCGAAACAAAAAATTTCTAGAAAAAATATTTTTTTCCTAATTTTTTTATTCAAAAAAATATTTCCATAAATAAATTGTTTTTTTTTCAAATTTATGAATAATAGATTTAAAAATACTTTTTTTTAAATCATTTAAAACTGAAGTTAAAAAAACTGATTACATAACAGTTTTAATTGAAATGTAGTTATTGTTATAAATACAAACCATTTAAATGGTTTAAAAATAATTATAATTTAATTTCTAAAAATAACTAATCATGCACACTTCTAATTTTAAGAAAAGAAAAATTTGATAACAAAATAAAAGATGATATTATTATAAGATTATTTTATACTTACATCTAATTTATAAGTGACGTATATTTAATTAAGTTATTGAAATATTTTAAAATTTATGTATGATTTATTCCAATTGATTTTATTTATAAAGAAAATATTTTTTAAATATATTAAATAATTAATATAGCTAATACATTATTTATTTAATATATTTAATGTTTTTTAATAAATCGGATCTTAGAAAATAATACAATAATAGTTTTTATTGATCAAAAATATAAAATTATTACATAGTTTAACTTATGATATAATTGTTGGTTTTGTTTTATCATATTATAAATTCCAACGTATCATATCACATAGGAAAAACATTACACCTTGAACTTCTTCAACCAATCTTTTCTTCTTCAACTGATCATGGCATCCATAACACCCTCCACACCAAAAACCGTCGCTAAAGAGATAGTTACTGAGTTCGGAACATTCATCCGTATCTTTAGCGACGGTTCAATAGAAAGACCATTACAATCTCCTTTTGTCCCTCCAATTCTCAATGACCCTAAGACAGGACATTCATCCAAAGACATCATAATCCCACACAACCCCACAGTTTCATCTCGAATCTACCTTCCAAAAATCACAAACCCATCTTCCAAATTTCCAATCTTGATCTATTTTCACGGCGGCGCTTTCCTCTTCGAATCCGCATTTTCTCAACTCTACCATCAACATTTGAAAACCTTAGCATCACAAGCAAACATTATAATATTGTCGGTAGAGTATCGTCTTGCTCCTGAGCATCCTGTCCCTGCATGTTACCATGACTGTTGGGCTGCACTCAAATGGGTATCTTCTCATTCCAACAACACCCTCAACAATCCAGAACCATGGTTGGTTGAACATGGCGATTTCGCTAGGGTTTTCATTGGTGGTGATAGTGCTGGTGGTAACATTACTCATAACATTGCAATTCAAGCTGGAGCTGAAGCATTACCTTGTGATGTTAAAATATTAGGAGCTATAATGATTCATCCTTATTTTAATAGCTCTTATCCAATTGGGTCAGAACCTGTCATAGAGCCTGAGAATAATCTTTTTCATCAAGTTTGGCATTTGTGTTACCCAAATTCACCTCATGGAATTGATAACCCTTTGGTGAATCCTTTGGGAGAAGGTGCACCTAGCTTGGAAAAACTTGGTTGTTCTAGAATTCTTATTTGTGTTGCTGAAAGAGATAAGTTAAGAGATAGAGGAGTTTGGTATTGGGAGAATGTGAAGAAAAGTGGGTGGAATGGGAGATTGGAATTGTTTGAAGAGAAAGATGAGAATCATGTTTATCATTTGTTCAAACCAGAATCTGAGAGTGCAAACACATTTATACAGCGATTGGTTACTTTTGTACAAGAGTGAAGAAGACTTGTCATATCTTTGTTTGATTTGGCTTTCTGTAGTTGTTTTTTTATCAATAATAAATTTGATTTTTCTACTGCTTACTGTTTTAGTGAAATAATAGAGATATTTCTCTTGACTGACAAAAAGTATATGGAAGTACAATTTTAGGTTTATGTTTTATCATTATTTTTATTGAGTAATTGATATTGTATATTAATTTCCTGTTGAAGAGTTGTTCTTGAGTGAAAAACCAATATTTAGAGTTTGATGAAGTTGTTGGTGATAGCAAATGAATATTTGGGGTTTGATGTTGGTTTTTAAAGAAGGTGAGATGGATTTGTTGGGTATATGAGTTTGTTAATGGATTGAAGGGTAATTTATGAGTTTATTTGGGTTAAAGGGAGAAAATCGAAAAGAAAAAAGTTTTATTTCTACGATAGAAGAAGAGATAAGAAGGATTTGAGTAGTCTAATGGCAAAGAAACACATAAGAGATAAGAGGAATTTGGCAAGGAGACACAGAAAGAAGACATACGAGAGGAGACACAGAAAGAAGAGATAAGACAATGAGACATAGAAAGAAAGAACAGATAAGAGGTATCTGAGAGAGTCTAATAGAAAGGAGACACAGAAAGAAGAGATAAGACAATGAGACACAGAAAGAACAGATAAGAGGTATCTGAGAGAGTCTAATAGAAAGGAGACACAGAAAAAAGAGGTATCTGAGAGAGTCTAATAGAAAGGAGACACAGAAAAAAGAGATAAGACAATGAGACACAGAAAGAACAGATAAGAGGTATCTGAGAGAGTCTAATAGAAAGAGATAAGACAATGAGACACAGAAAGAACAGATAAGAGGTATCTGAGAGAGTCTAATAGAAAGGAGATACAGAAAGAAGAGATAAGAGAGATCTCAGAAATGAGACACAAAGAAGAGATAAGAGGAATATGATAGATGACAATGAGAAGATAAGAGATAAGAGAAATCTGAGAGAGTTTAATGACAAAGACTCATGAATACATGTGTGTGAGTGTTGCAATGAATAATGAGATATGAATAGTAAGAAAAGATTATTATCATTATTAGAATTAATGAATACACCTATTAAATTGGTGTATTCAATAATTATTATCATTATTTTCTGATTTAATGTATAATTCGATTTTAATTACATTAGATGCAATATATCATAAAATATATCAATTATTATATAAAATATCAATTTTCTTTATTTATTTAGAACATAAAATATTTCTATTTAATCTAAAATATTTTTTACTAAAATCAGGTTCTATTTTATATATTTTTTAATTTATGTTATTTTTATAAATTCTGTTCTATTTTATCTTTTTATTAAAATTATGTTCTAATTTTTTTTTTCACTTATCATATTCAACTTTTATCATTTTCACATTATATTTTCACAATTATCTTATTTTCATGATTACATTTTATATTATGTTATTTTTCAAAAAAGAAAGACTTTAATTTATAATACTTATATTATAAAATTAATGATATCAAATTTTGAATTTATGATAATTTATATTATGTTATTTTTTTAAAAAGAAAAACTTTAATTTATAATATTTATATTATAAAACTAATGATATCCAATTTTAATTTATGATAAGAAATTAGTATTATTTTATATCACTTATACATTAGAGTCATTATTATAATAAGAAAATTACTTTTTTTTTAAAAGTACTTAATAAAAACAACATAATGGAAAAAGTAAACTACTAATTAAAAAACAGAAAAAATATGTCATTCATTAATTTAAAAACATGTTTATTTATATGATAATATATATAACTAATTAAAATTAAAAATAAGTATCATATAAATGTGTGTCATAGTATTTAAACTTTATAAAGTACAAATATAATATTTTTAATGAAATTATACTTTATGAAATTCTTTTTTTATATTATTAAATATTTTTAATAATTATATTTTAACTTAAATCATAAAATAAATAAAAAACAGTTTAAATTATACCTATAACTTCTTATATTAAAAAATTCCCACCAAAACTTAAAATAAAAAATTTATTCAATAAATTAATCAATAATTAATTCAAATTAATTAATTAATTAAAATTAATAGATTAATTCAAACCCACTCACATTGATTATACTTACGTTCACAGTTTCTCATTAAATCATTAATCAAAACTCACAATTTAATAATTTTTTTTTTGACTAATCTCACAATTTAATAAATTAAAAAATTATTCATGCCAAAACTCACTCATCTATATTTACTTTCATTTATTATCTATTTATTCATGATTTCATAAACCCCATTAATGAGGGGTGTTCAAATTCAAACCAATCCAAATCAAAAATCAAAAACCGATCCAAAAAATCGAAAACCGTAAAAACCCGAAATTTATTGAATGTGTTTGGATGTTATTTTGTGAAAATCGATAAGTTCGGATCGAATTTCGGATTAATTTTTCAAAACCGATCCAAATCAAACCAAACTGCATACATATATTTTTATATTTATTTACTTTTTATTAGCATGATATGCTATGTAAAATTATTATTAGACGATAATAATTTTTTTAATAATAGTTATTAGCTTGGTATAATTTATTTATTTTTATTATTTCAATCATAATCAACCACTCTCATTTTGTAATATTAACTTTTAATATACTATATTTTATATATTATATCAAATCTATGATTTATTAGTAGTTTTATAATATTAATAAAAATATAATGTGTAATTTGGATATCCAAAAAACGACCCAAATTAAACCGCATAAAATTGGATCGGATCGGATTGGATTTTTTTAATATATCATCCAAAACCGAACCGAACCGCAAGTAAATTTATCTTTGGATCGAATAATTTTTTATCTTAAAATCGATCCAAACCGAACCACGAACACCTCTACCATTAACTCATTCATCTATATTTACTCTCACTTATTATTTTATTTTTTTTAATAAACAATTTATATTTAATATGATTCAAACTCGAGACTACGAGAAAAATACATTTTCAAAACCCAAACATTTCGCACACTTATCTATTTATTCATGATTTCATTACCCCATTAATCCATTGCCCCATTAATTAAACCATACAATTTTATCTCTAAATTAATATTTAAATTTTAAATTAATATTTTATTAATTAATTAGCTACCTCTCTCCACTCTCTCCACTCTCCTCCACTTCTCTAAATTGCTTCCATTCTCTTTTTGCAGGAAATAAGAACACCTAGATATCTCCCATTGTTACTTTTATTTTAATTTGCATAATAACTTTGATGTGTATTTTGAGAAAAGATTGTAGCTAAGTGAAGTAAATTTTAGATCAATTAATATCTTCATTATATTTACTATATATATGAACATGCATTTTAATCTATTATGAAGCCCATTTTAATTTCATTATTCAGTTTCTTTCCATGTGTAAACATATTTAAAAATTTGATTCGACAAGCCCATTTTAATTTCATCATTCAGTTTCTTTCCTTGTGTAAATATATCTAAAATTTTGATTCCACAAGCCCATTTTAATTTCATCATTCAGTTTCTTTTCATTTGTAAACATATTTAAAAATTTGATTCCACACTAATTTCACTATAAAATAAATGCTCTCAAGCGAAGTGGAGTTGTGACGTGATTAACACGTGAAAGTTTGCAACGTGATAATCACGTCGTTACATAATTTTAATAATAAAATATGAAAAGTAACGTTAACAAAAGAGGAGTCAGAAAATATTTTTTATAAAAAAAGTTGCGACGTGAATCTCACGCCACAACCAATTAATTAAAATATATAATTCAGAAAGTTATTACCTGCACATGGTGGGAAGTTTAAAATTTTCAAATTTCAAGTTGTGACGTGATATTCACGTCGCAACCTTTTAGAGGGGGAAAACTTTCTGCCTTGATGTTGACTGCGCCCAGTGGGTGCAGAGTTTATGACCGTTGGGAACGTTGCATCGTGATAATCACGTGGCAAGGTTACGACGTGATTATCACGTCGCTGACTGTTTATATTTTTTTTTTGTTTCACAGATCTTCTCTTCGTGAACGGATATAAATTTCACACTGAGACATACTGAAGGGGAAAAAACTATAAACAGTGGTGTATTTGTAAAAGGAGTTACAAATGGCGGTGAAGATGACTTCTACGGCTTTGTTAAACATATCTATGAGTCGGTATACAATGACTTGGACTCGAAAAATAAAGTTGTCTTATTTTATTGTGAATTGTATGATCCAACTAGAGACACAAAAATAGATAAGTCATATGGTACTATTGAGATTCAAATGGATCGGAGGTACAAAGAGTATGACCCTTTCATAATGTCCCATATTATTAGGCAAGTTTATTATGTTCCTTATCCTTCATTTGTACCACGTAAACGAGAATGGTGTGTTGTAATAAAAATAAAACCGTTGGATCATATTGAAATTAGCGATCTAGTGGAAGATGCTGCTTACCAAGTTGATGAAGTTGAGCAAATTGATGATGTGATTGCAGATGAACAAATTACAAGTTTGTCTGATACAATAGTTGAGGGACATCAAGTTAATGCGTATACATTATTGGTTGATGATAATGTGGACGGGGAGCATGATGAAGAGTTTGGATCTGAGGATAATATCACATCAGATGATGAGAATGTATGGATAACGAGCATGAAGATTTAGAATAATGAACTATTTATTGAATGTGTTAATAAAAATGTATTGATGAGAACAATGAATCATCTATTGAATGTGTTAATGAATATGTATTGATGAAAATGTATTTTTCAAATTTATTATTTTTGTTGATGATATATATATATATATATATATATATATATATATATATATATATATATATATATAAACTGTGTATTCTATATAAATAGGTAAAATGCCACCTCGAATTGATAAGAGTAAGGATAGTGGTAAGAAGTCCCAACGCCTGAGGTTAGTAACATGTGAGGCACCTTAGTCGGCCATGTGCCCTCTCCCGCAGAGTCAGGTCGATCA